ATCAGGATGACTTTCTAACCAACAAACTACCCAGACAGGGTCTGTGTCTATTTTTTCTGCCAAACCATCCTACACACTGTGACAGTGAATATTAGAACAATTCACTGTAACACTGTGAATATTAGAACAATATTATTGTTGTAATATTCAAATTTGACCATGTTACTTGGTTACTTAAAAAGCATTACCGACTCACCATTACTAGGAGAAGCAAAATTCCTTAACCTACACACATATATCTCCCTTCACAGTCTGGTCCCAACCCGCTTTTCTAGCCTCCTGGCCATTTACTCTTCCCTGCATAGTTAATACTCGAGCCACACTTTCCTACTCACTAGTCTGACACACACTGAGCTTTTTCGCACCCTCTTGCTTTGCTCATAAGTCCTCTCTCCACTGAGAATGTACCTCTCCCATATTTGCTGCCTAGTAAACTCTTACACATCCTATACGATCTAGATGAAATGCTACCATCTCTATGAAAACATATCCAATCTCCTACATACAATAAGTACAGGCAGTGAGTGAGAATAAGGCAAATTGAGGGTGGCGAGGTGCACCTTGTCGGAAGCTGTGACACTGAGTGGAGACCAACCATGGTTGCGTCTGGGGAAACAGCGTTCTAAGTAGAGGAGACAGATCACTCATACAAAAGGTGGAAGGAGGAGATGACAGCATGTTGCTGAGGCAAAAGAAAGCCAGTGTGACTAGAACAGAATGGGTAGGGGAAACGTGGTCAAAGAAATAGGCTGAGGCCAGACCATGAAGGACCTTGAAGGCCAAGGAGAAGTATGGATATTATTCTAAGTGTAATAGGAAGCCACTGGAAGGGTTTCTGCCAAGTAATGACGTGATCTGATTTATGTTTCTTAAGAAGTCATTCAGGTTGCTTTGTACAGAATGAATTATAAAGGAGCAAGGGTGGAAACAGAGAGACCATTTACATAGATGCTTGATTCATGCCTGTTATTAAACAAACATTTATTCATTGATATATTTGTTTATGCATCATTCTAAATTTATCTTTGCTGCTGAAATAAGCAAGACATACTGAGATACTTGCAGCAAAGGGCTCTACTTATATGTGCCAGATGTGTGAATATCAAGCTTTCAGGAGATAAAAATGTGCTAGAAAGTCCCACTGTTCAGGGTGTGCCAGGGAACTGAATCAGCGATTGTACCCCAGATCCTGACACGAGTACCACTGCTATGCTGGAATGTGAAAAGTGTTGCTGATAGGAATGGTGGTATGGAGGCTCTGCAATAAGAGAAAGCACAGAAATGTAAATCAGAGTATTCCCTTATATGTTCTTTTTTTTTTTCTGGTTTCCAGCAGTAACCCCCTGCACCTAGATAAAAGCACACCCATTGCTAAAAGTTAATGATACATTTTCATAAATCCTATGGACATATCTCCTGGCTCACAGCCTTTGCACACACTCTTCTTTCTGCCTGGAAGACCCTTCCCATCAGCTCTTAGCCTGATGACTCTTAATGAACTTAAGTGTCAGTACTTCTGACAGGCCTTGCTTGAAACCCCAAATCTAAATCAAGTCTCGTCTTTAATAGAACCCTGTACTTTTACTTGAATGCCTCTAGCTTTACATTCATTTGTGAGATCATTCTTTTAATGCCTTTGCATACTTGCAGCCTCCACACCCATCAGGCTGCAAGTTCCAGAGATCCGATACATCTGTTTACCACTGCTTCTACAGTGCCTGGCACAGAATGCACTGTAATACACTGCAATAAGGACTTACTACTACTAAGTGAATGAGTACTGGAAAAAGGCTTCCCAAAGCAGATAGGTATACGATTCCTTTAGCACCTCTGCCTGTGCTTTCTCTTGATTTCCCTCCTGTAGCTTTAAGAATTCCTGCCTTCCATTCACACAAAGTGAATTCTAGAGAGATGAGGGAGCAATTCTTTGCAGATTCATGCCCTTAGCCTTTTAAATCAGGGTCTCTCAACCTCAGCACTATTGAAATTTGGGGCTGGGTCATGTTTTGTTGTGGGAGGGACTTCCTGCTCCTTGCAGAGTTTAGCGGGATCCCTGACCTTTACTCATTATTTGCCGGTAATACCCACTCCCAAACATGTTTCAAGTATTGCCCCGTGTCTGCACAATCATTCCTGATTGAGAACCACTCTTTAAAAGTATGAACTCTCAAGACGTTTACTCTTTTAGAAGAATTATGTTTAGGAATTCAGGGTTTTGAATAACGCCTCCATTATAAGAGAATTCTACCAACTCAAGTGGACCAAAATTACGCCCATTTCTATCTCGTTTCTGTAGAACAAGAAAATACTCCCTGTTTTCTATGGAAAGGCCATTAGGGATGTTCTAATTCAGGGCAATATTCTGATCTTGGAAATGCAGTTCCCTGGTCTGTCCTAGAAGGATGGAGGAAGGGGGTGGTGTTTCTGAGGAAACCAATGCCTTCGAGACCCCTCTGGAATTGGCAGTCCCCTACAACTTTTCTGGGGGCATGTCCCAGAGGACAATAAAAGGGAGACAAACAGCTCATTCTGGCATGCTTTTCAGGATCTCTCACTCCAAACAAGAAAGTCTGAGAGGCCTGGTAAAAATAAATATGGCTTAGCACTCCTGGCACAAGAGCAGTTTCTGACAGCCAAGACTTAACTCACCCCAGGGGGTGACCCAGGCAGGGACTATGCACAAAGTTCGCTTCTACCCGTCCATAGTCCCAGTGACGATCTGCAGCCAGGATGGCTCTGCCTACCAGAGCTGTGCTGAGCCATGGAGGAGGAGGACTTGGGATGCACACAGGAGACACAGTTTCCTGAGCCTGAGTCAGACAGGGCGAGCCAGCCTCCCCCTTCCTCCTCAATCCCAGAAAAACAACACAAATCATGCCTTCTGGAAAGGAACCTATCCTTTGCATACAGAGTGGAAACTGTTTATAAATCCCTAATCCCCTGACATTGAAAGTATGGTGACCGCCTGTCTTGGATTTTTTTTTTTTGGGAGGGGGGACAAATGTATTCATTACACCACATGTCCTTAGTTTTCATGTGGAAAAAAATATGGTCTCCAGAATCATAAGGTCTTTTTCGACAGATCGGAAAGCAAGTCTTCCTAAGCAACATAGAAGGAATTCCGGAGGCCGGCCAGAGCTGCATCAAGAACGTTGGAGGGGGTGCTCTACGGGGGAGGCAGGGAGTGTATTGCCAAGAATCAGCCTCTACTTTTCACTTTTTCTCCTTGGATTTTAGGCTGAGGTGACAGAGGTAGAAAAAGGTGGATTATCTTTCCCAGCAGTAAGACACTGTAAAGCTGGCCTGACTTGCCTGCCGCCTTCAGGCAGCAAGGAGAAGTACACACACAGAAAATGCCTCCGTATACGTTACCATGGTGATGCTAGTTCAGCCACATTTCATCTGTGTAAAAATTTCAGGCACAACACCATGGAGAAGCACTGGCTGAGAAGGAGTTAATACTTCACATTTTTTTATTGCTGTTGCAAAGTTAATGTTAGCTTTAGTCAAAGATGGTAATTTGAAGTGAATCCTTTGAAAAATTGAAAACAAGCAAGGGTGAAATGCCAACCAATCCATTGGAGAAATCTTTTTTTTTCTCTTTTTGGAGAAATCGTCTAATATCCTCTTTGCACTACACCACATTGCTTTTCCCTCAGCTAATATGGGATATCTGGGTCCTCTTGACTCAATTTACTAGTAACAGGAAAGTGGCTTAACAAAATGACAGAAGATTCCAAAGCCAGAAAAGCTGGAGAACCAACAGGGAGAGCAAAGTGGTACAGAGGACCCTAAGGCAGTGGGGACTTGGACAAAAGTAACAAGACAAGAGCCAGCCTAGAGAATGGAAGATGGTACATGGTGGTGGACGGAGACTTGACTTGGGGCGGTGAACACACAATACGGTGTGCAGATGATGGGCTGTGGAACTGTGCACCTGGGACCTGCACGATTTTGTTCACCAGTGTCACCCCAATAAATCCAAGAACAAGGAAAAAGAGATCATGGAAGATGGTAACAAAATTAGCCCGTATTATGAATTCGCACCAGGCGGAGGCGTGGGCCACAGAGCTAAGACGAGGCAGGAGCGGATGGCTGCACGTAGTAAAACATGGCTGGAAGTTCTACAGACTGAAGCTGGGAGGAGGCTGAGGCCTGCGGGAGAGGGAAACTGCGGGTCAGGACTCACGTCCTTAGCCCCTTGTCTCCTTGCCGGGATCCGAAAGCCAAGGAGGGGAAGCCAAGAGGCTAACAGCGCTGATTTACAGAGACAACGAGGAGGAACTAAGTCTGTCTGGGCCAAATCTGGGCGCCTGAACTGGGGTGACGGGACCCAGACAGCCACCTCAGGAAATGAGTAGACGAAAAGGGGAGGTCGTGGAATTATTTAGCCCTGCAACAACGCTGCCCGTCCGGGGGTGGGGGGCTGGGGAAGTGGGGGGGGGGTGGGGGAGTGGGGCGGGGGTGGAGCAAGAAGGAAATCTCAGAAAGGGGATTTTGACAGTGAGAATGCTAGTTAAGACAGCAGTCCAGGCCCCCCGATGTCCCTTGTTCGATGTCAATAAAGCCGAGAGGATTATGCATGAGCAAGCCTTGCGTGTTCTTAAGACATCAATAAAGCCTGGACTTGAGGACGGTGGGGGTCCCGGGGTCACGTCCAGGAGACAGGTCAGCCCAGGTGCTGCACTCTGGCACAGAGCTAGAGTGACCGGGATGCGAGAGCTGCCGCTAGGATGATTTTTTTTAAGTTAGGGACACTCGAGCAGTAGTAATGGGCACAGGGAGGGGGGGCTCTCTCGAAGGCTAGGAATGTGGGGGCGGCCTGGAGAGGAGTGGGGCGGGCGCGGGAGGCGAGGCGCCGGCGGGTGGGATCCGGGGACCAGGGGGCGGGGGCCCAGGGCGGGAAGGGGCCGGGCCGGCGCTGGGGGCGGGACCAGGCGCGGTGGCGGTGGCGGGGGCTGCGGCGCGGGAGGCGGGGCGGCCGGGCCCGGGACACCCCTTCCCTGTCCCCTGGCGGGGCGGCTTTGGCTGCGGCAGCACTGGAGGCAGCAGCGGCCGGAGAGCGACTTGCGGGGCGCGCCCGCCGCCGTGGATCGGGACCCTTCCCCTCGGGGACCCTCCGCCGACTCCTTCCTCCTAGCGTCCCGCGGGAGCCGGCAGGACCCCCGGCCGGTGGGAGCGCCCGCGGCGGCCGCGGCACCATGAGGCGGCCGTGGGGCGTGCTGCTGTTTGGCGCCCTGCTCTGCGCACACGGTAAGCGGCGGCGCCGCGCCCGCGCCGACCGGCCCGCGGGGAAAGTTTGCCCCGGGGTCCGGCCACTGCAGGACGAGGCTCCCGAGAGCAGGACGGCGCAGGCTGGGGCCTGAAACCCCTCGCCCTCGCTCCAGGCAGAAGCCCCGAGAGGCGTGCCGGGGAGACGAGCACGAGCTTCCCCAGCTCCGCGGGTCCTAGAGGGGGCAGCGGCGGAGCAGCGCCCCGGGCAGGGTCTGGGCCGGGCTAGGGGCACATCTGAGGCGCTCGCCTGCCTGCCTGCGCCGCTCTTGGAAGAGCTGGGGGCTGCTTGCCTTTCAAGTTAAGATAGAATCTCTGTGTCCTTGGTGCGAATGAGTGTGCGCGAAGAAAGGGACGCGGGGGAGGATGGCCGCTAGACCGTAAGTTGTAAATAGCCCTCCTTCCTGCGGCCGGGGGTCTCGGGCAGATCGCGGAGAGGGGCCCCAGCGGGATCTGAACTCTTGAGCTCTGGGGGCTCCTATGAGAAGAACAGCTCCTCAGACTCCGGGTCTCTCTCCCACCGAGAGTCCGTGGGCGCTGCTCGCTTGCAGCATCTCCCCTTAGTATGTTTTTGGGTTCCCTCTCCTGGCCGCGACCAATCAGCTCCCTACCCTAGATCCTTCCCGGAGGTGGGGTGAGGGGGACAGGGTTGAAAAGGGAGCAGAGAAGGGACCCTGGGAAGAAATTGCTGGAAGGCTTCCGCAGATGCGTCCTGGCCGGGGTAGGGGAGCGGGGGGCGGGTATCGCCAAACCTAGGAAGGCAGCCTCCCGGCCCGCGCGCCGGCCCTCGGGGGAGCTGGACGGACCGCGGCGGCGGGGCTGCTGCTGCTGCAGCTTCATCTGCTCCTTATTAATAACTTGTTTGGTGCCCGTACGCAACTGTTGTGTGTGATTAGGGCTCCGGTGGAATTTGTTTCTCCGCAGCCGCCTAGGACCGTGGGTGCACCCCGTGATTTAGCAGCTGCCTCTCGTTTGTGCCCACAGATCAAAGAACTTTGATCTTGGAAGCCCCGACTCCGTTCACCCACCACTAATCAACGGCAGGGAGATCCGAGTCTTCCCCCTCTCCTCGCGGCCGGGCGAGGGCTGGGGGTGCACACGGAGAGGTCTGTGAACCCTGGCCTTGCACCGTTTCTTCCTCTAACATAGGGGAGCTCGTGTGCACGGAGGGCAGATTTCGGAACTTGCCTGCCAGGGCGTGGAGATGCCTGGGCACTTGTTTTAAAGAGTGGCTTACTTGCCCGATCCAAAGCAGGGTTCTTAACGCCTGTTATTTGAACTACCCTCGGGTTTTAAATGACTTTTTCCAAGCCGCCTCTAACACCGACAGAGCCCTTTCTCTCCGCTCCTCCGCGCTTCCTCTCGGAGCAGGAGCCTTGCCGACCCACGTTCCTCTTCGCACTGTGCTCTCCCCCTCCCGTGCTCTCTCCTGGAAGGTTATTTGTAGCCTCTTTGGCGTGTCGGGACAGCGGCCCTACTGGGGTAGGAATGTAGCTGCTCTTCCCACCACATGGGCCCCTTAAAGGGACAGAATGCTTTTTGGGGGTTTCCCCCTTCGGGCTGCATGGGAAGGGGATGGAACTTTTCTTTCGGCCCCCTGGAGGAAGTTTTGAAAAAGATCAAGGGAAATGGCAAGGCACTGAAAAAAAAAAAGGGGGGGGGGCACTGAAACGAATACCAACAAAGCCAGAGAGGAGATTGACGCCTTCTGCCCTAGGGAAAGGGGAGCTGGAAGGTTCCGGGCTGCGACTGGCAAGGAGGATTTTACTGCTCCAGAGCTGTCAAAACTGCATGCCCTGCATCTCCGTTGAGAATGGCATGGAGAGTTGTGTATGTTTAATGTTTCCCTCCAAAAATGGATGGGAGGGTTCTTGGTAACTCTTTCGGGTTCTTTTTAAGGACAAAAAAAAGTTTAATGGAAACTTCTAAGCATGGGAAGCTTTCTGTGCCCACGTGTAAGGCCAGTCAGTGACACGAAGATCTAAACTTCGCCTTGCTTGGTAATGAGCCATCCTTGGAGGTCTGGAGGGGACCGATTCATGGTTCACCAGTGAGAGTGAGCAGTTGCTCAGCCGAAAGTACCACCACGAAGATTCCTAACACTGTTCCAGGGGCTCAGGGAGAAGATAATGCGTCACAGTAGATCAGTTAGGCAGACCTGAGCTCAGCTTGGACTGAATTCACTACACTGAAGGTGCTATTTGGATGCTGCTAGTCCTTTGGGCTTTTCCTAGCACCCGTGGGTTTGGCCTAAGCCTGCCCAACCCTCCCAAGTTAAACATTTTGGAAGGAAATGTAAGTGCTACTAATGGCCCTGGGTATTTTTCTCCTGAGGGTTGAGGTGAGACCTCCAGCAGCCTACCACCATTTGAAGGGTAGAAACTGTGTTTAGCTTGGAAGTCTCTTCCCGGTAAGTGAAAAGTCGAAAATTCTGCCTAGGAGTAATTAGATAGAGGGTTGCTTTCTGAGGATGCATGCAAAAGAGCGGGGAGCTGAGGCCTGTCTCCTTTCCATCTGACTGTTGTCTTGGTGCTTGGTTGACCTTGTCCCTGATCTTTTTGGACTTGTGAAAGATGCTTGGCTTGTCACTGATTTTGGATTTCCTCTCCTGTCTCCTGTTGGATATCAGATAACATCTTTGGGACTAGCACATGGAATTAAGAATGACAGGTGCAAGGGAACCAAGTCTGGCCATGTCTGATACAGAGCACGCTAGGCATGTCCATCTTCGGGGTCAGCAAAGAACACAGGAGGTCACAGAGGACAGCGTGTGTTTTATGGGTCTCTGCACACTCTCTCTGCTGATTGACTGCTCATCTTGACCTCCAAGAAGAAGGAAAGTGGGAGGAGTCGGTTATGCTGATTCTGCTTTGAAGAGAAGATCAATACTAGGGGGAGTTTCCTGAACAGGAACTGCATTTCAGGGACTGCTTTAAAAGGTAGTCTTCTTTTTTTTTATATGATTGGGCACATCTCATAATTACAAGACAGTTCCATGCCCTTTGTCGACTAGGTCTTTTAGCCTGTTCCAGCCACAGTTTCTGCATTCCTTGACAAAGCTCAGGCATGAGTTTTGTTACAGTTGCCTGGGCGTGGGGCATCTGGGCCCCAGACTGGATCTGGATAACCATCTCATCTTCACCATCAGAAGCCCTTCACCCCTACTCAGCCTAGTGGGATTCAGTGTCCCAGGGAAGACTTCGTGTTCACTGGTTGGTTGGCAGAGCCTGGGTTCGGCCCTATAAATAGCTCTGATGAATGCCTGTGCTTGCTGTTCTTCCTCCAGCTTAGAGCTGGCAGGGTCAGGTTCTTTTTCCCCAGTACACTCAGGAGCGTTCCCTAAACTGGGCTTTGTACCCATTCATTTGTTCATTCATTCTGCAAATGCACATTTGTCAAGCACTTAATCGCTGCATGCAGAGCTCAGTGATTAAAAAGCATAGCCAGACCTGGGCTTGAATCTTGGCACTTCCTAGTGACTCTGTGCAAAACACTTAATCTCCCTGAACCTCCAGCTTCTTATCTGTAAATGGGGTGGGGGCAGTAGTGATAAGTTATCACATGTGAATATTGTAAAAATTAAGTGAGATAAAATAGTATGTTCCAACCATTCAGTACTGAGCCTGACAACTACTGTGTTACGATAGGCCTGGATAAATGTTAGCTGTCCATTAGCAAGCTTGCAAAAGTGAGTGAGAGGTGGTTCTTGCCTTTGGACCATGGGAGGCAGGTAAACAAATCATTATACTACAGTGTCATGTGCTAAAGCTGAGGCTCAGGCCTCCATTCATTTCAGCTGTTTTTTTGCTTGATTGTTTAAAACAATCTTGCTTCTTTTCCCCTGCCCCTTGAAAACCTAATGAAACCAAAGCGTAGTTGCCTCCTGTGCTCCCTTCCAGAAAAGAGGCCTATTAAGCGATCCTGTGAGTCCAGGACCTCTGCCTTAGTTCTCCTGGGAGAGGTCCTGGGAGATGGAGTTTTTCTCTGAGAGCTTCCCTGCTGGAGCCCCGTGGTCAGGGATGCAGCCAGGCACTTCTCTCTAAGGTTGCTTTGACCTGGGGTGAGAGGTGCTGGCTGAGGTCTCTTGTAGCTGGAACAGTTTAGAATTCCAGGCTCTCCTTCCCACTGGCCTGGGAAAGGAGTCGGGCCCCAGAGCTCATAAGGTAGTAATTGCCCCAATTTGGGGGCTGGGCTGTTGCAGAGCCGCCTTCCTTCGTGACTACCGTCTTCAATCAGGAATCCTGTCAGTGTGCAGGGTTAATTGATGTGGGTCTCAAGTCCCTGACTCACCCCCAGCTCCTCCACCCCAAAGTTTGACCCCTGTTGTCTCTGCTCCTTCCTTTTAACTTGGTGCCAGTTGTGTGATGTTTTGGGGGGCGGCGGAAAGCTGACCATAACCAAGAGCAGCCGTGGAAGAGAGCTGATTCTCTAGCTTTCCTGGCAGTCATTTGACTCCATTTTCTGTTCTGCATTTTTGATTTAGCAAGAAGCAAACATCCGAGGTGCCTCTGGGCACCTCTTACGCCCTTCTGAGCGAGCTTCATTCTTTCACTGCACATAGGCATTTCCCTCCTTGCCACAGCTGAGTGGATTGACTGCAAGCGTCCCTAACGCCCTACTTCCCACTCACACAGGTTTGAGTGAGGAAGGGAAGGGCGCTGTCTGAGACCCAGCTGGGAAAGCTTCGCTGGGACTTGCAAGCCCTGACTTGGCCTACGGGAGCTCCCGCCTCACCTCTGTGCAGAGCCGAGGATCAGAGCTGCAAGCAAAGCCGGAAACAAAAGACTGGGAGCAAACCCATCTGGCTGAGAGGCAGCGACACAAAGGTGCTGCTGCATAATTTATCACCGGAGGTTTTCTGGGGCCGGGAAGCTGGTGGCTTCAGGCAGAGCCTTTTTTAGGGGGAGGGACCCTCCCCCTTTCTGGGAGTAGGGCCAGGCAGGTACAGAGTAGGGCACTGGGAGAGACACCTGATTATCACA